GTTGCTGTTAACAATTTTATAGACCTGAACAGTGATGAGAAATTAAAAGTTATATTTAGTAATACTAATGTAATAAGAGTTAGTGCCAAAACCTGCTTCCAGATACTACAAAGAAGGAATTTGTTCATGTGTAAATAGGATGTTTTAATCCTGTTATTAAAGTAGTAGAAATGTAACAATAGTAGTGTACATAGTACATAATTTTTAACAGCAATTAGTTTTATATTTTATAATTGAAGATGTAAAACAGATATTTTTGTTTTATTTTGGTTGTGAAGGAAGATTGAACTGTGGCAATGATATAGCAGTACATTGCCACAGTGTATCGACATTGAATATTAAGACATATTGTGTATAGGCTTGATTTAAATGGTTGATTTTTAGGCCGAGTTTAGTGCAGTTTGTTTGTACCCTACTAATGTTATCTACACTGGCACACAAATGTATCATATGCTGGAAGGCGATCACCTTAGACAGTCAAATATATCCAACCAACCAATTATTGTTAATATTATTCATTATACTGGCATTTAAGATAGTGCAGAATAATGACCTTTCACGCACCATGTTTTACCATGTACTTATTTGGTTATGCATCGTGTACAATCTTGTACTTATTGGGACACATACCATGTTCAATCATGTACTTATTGGATCACACATCATGCACACTTTTGTACCTTGGGTCACACACCATGTTTAATCATGTACTTATTGGATCACACATTTAGCATAATCATGTACTTATTCGAATATATTAAGTCACACACCTTTCACAGTCAGGTGATTTTTGTGTTACAATCTTATACTCCATGATATATGCATTCATTTGGAACATTATTACTCTTTTACTGAATATTGATAATTATACAGCAATGCTGGGTACATGTATGCTGCACTAAACTTACGCTTTTGTATGAACATATTTGGCCTCACTCACAAAACAAGTAAATTGCAGTAGTATTGTCACAAATATTCTGGACATTATTTTTTGAAGTATATTGTTTTTTCATGAAGGAATAAGCAAAAATGTCTGTTATATATACATGTAACTTGGTTATAAAGTAAATTGGTTTTTAGCTATAGAATATATTTTACCAGTATCATCATGTTTTTAAATGTCTCTTATAAATCTATCGAGATTTGTCCAACATGTGTTTTAATATGATTGAACATTGTGATGTATTGTATATATGACGTGCTTGGAATGAGACAATAAACTATTAAACTCTAGCCAATTGTTTAAATTATTTATAGTTTCACACTGCATATGGATTTTCATTGTTTATTGAACACGAATAAATGAACAATGTGATAAGTTGATCTGTTATTCGGTGGTGCAAATGATACAAAAGGCAAAAGTGATTATTGTGACCGGCTGTCGGTAGGGGTGGTGGGTGGCGTAGCGACCTTGTACATTGAATACATTTCACGTTTTTTGTGTTGCATGCTTGTATACATTTATATAGTACTGAAAGTTTATGCAGTGGAAATATTGTTCAATATAAATTTCAGATTTTAAACTCATTACCTAACAAATATTCATAGGTATATTAGAAACATAACTGCAATGTGTTTGTACATTCAGATATAATTTAAAGACAAATAAAAAACCAACTTTTTCTCTTTTTATTCTATGAGTCTATGTCAAATATATGTCAAAATAAAATACTTCTTTAACAATAAGTACTGCAACAATCTGCGAGAATGTGTTGTTTAGTCTTACATGTTCTATATATATCGCATTCTGTCATCAGTTTTTGTGTAACAGATATATTTTCTTCTTAGAGAGACATTTATCAACCCAAGTCTCGTTGCACCAATCGGGTGCTGTAGTTTCATAATCAAAACTTTCAAATCCAAGTACAAAAACATACACTCTTCTCACATAGACAAAGCATGATGTCAGTTCCTGCTCCTTATTGAAAGATTCACAGCGCTTATACATTTTACTAGTAAATGCGTTATCACAACCATCTCTTGAATACCCCTTTGCAAAGCCCTAAAATTGACAGAAATGTTTTTTTACTGCATAACTATTAACTACCTGCTGTTTCAATATAAACACAACATAACACAAAATAAATTAAGAAGTGAATATATATGTATTTGATTGTAAAATTGGAAAACGTTTACTACGTATTAAAAGTTACCATTTACGGGTAAGGGGAATAACAATGGGATATGTCAATAAAATATCTTAAGTCAGGAATATTAATATTGAACATAATACGAATGCTGATCGTCATTCTAACGACCCACAGTTTTGTGTATAAAATAGTTCATATATATAGCTGAAATGTTGTGAATTATTAAGTTACTTTTGAAGGCACTGAACATTTTAAACTCTGAAACATTCTTCCTTATTGCTGAATAATGCCGAGCAGATATCAACATAGAAAATATTAATATGTTTAAATGTACTAACACATGCGTAACACACGACATGCATGTTACATTGATCATCGAAAAGAGATTTCCCAGAAAACCCCAACATCTCCCATGCGCTACAACCATAAGCTCTATTTGGAGAAGTATGTTTGCATGACGTCACTGCTTCTAGCATGACGAGAAATGTAACTAAAGATAACGCAGTGCCGATAGTTGTCATCTACAATTTAAATGAAACGGATAAAGCTTAATTTTATCTTTAAATGATTTTCCAAGATTTAGATAGTGCATGATATTGCATTTTAAAATCTGAAAAAGTAGTTCTATCTTACAGGATATAAATTGCGGTAAGAGAGAAAACTACAAAGACAATTAAAACTAAAACACAAGTTTACTTACATTCTAAGTGTCTATGATAAATCATCCCAGGTGTTATGTTTTGTAACAGCTTTATCCGTTTATATTCCTTTCAATGTTCTACTTTTGTTCTTCACATTGCAAAAGGGAATATGCGGTGTTCCGTTTGGACATTCGTGCATGCAATTTCGTCCTTACCCGCGGTGCACAATGGTACACATCGTACAATTGCGTTTTCACCATTATAACATCACGCTATCATATTTTCACCATTGTACCATCCAGTTTTCACCATTGTATCACCGCCTTTTCTCCATTGTGTCATCGCATTTTCACCATCGTACCAACGCCTTTTCACCACTGTTCCATCGCGTTTTTACAATCTTGCCATCGCGTTTTCACTATCGTGCCATCGCCTTTTCACCATGGTACTATCGCCTTTTCACCATCGTGCCATTACTCAAAGTATTTTTGAGACATCAACTTCATAGTTGGATAGATCTCATAGATACGCAAGCAGAGTGCAGGTTTAATAATGAGAATTCATCTACATACCATTGCGCATGACCACCGGAAGACGATGGCGTGATGATGATCAACATCTCGATTTTACGATGTTGAAAACATGATGGTGCGATGGTACGATCGTGGAAACGCGATGGTACAATGGTGTAGCCGCCATTGTACGAAGATAAAATCTCGATATAACATCACTTTTCACCATCGTACCATTGCGACATCGCAATTTCAACATTGTACCATCGTGTTATCATCATCGTAACATCGTGTTTTCATCATCGTATCATCGTACCATCGCGTTTTCTCCATCTTACCATCGTACATCGGGGGTAAGGACGAAAATATAAATCACTGTTGTCCAAACGGAACACCGTAGCAATACAATTTAACATCGTAAACAAACGGAATGTGCTTTACGGTAAACCTTAGTACTACAAAAAGGCAAGAATACAAAAAAAATTAAAGGTATTTTGACCAAGCTTGCAAAAAGTCATTGAAAGATATTATATAACATATTGAGGAAAAGACATGCACCAAAAAAACAGAAGTGTACAAAGAATGGCAATTTTCCTTCAATTTATCTTCTTTTTATAAATAATTTTATTTTATTATTGACAACATTACTTCGAGCCATGAAATAATACAACAATCTGTATGAATGCTTTGTGAATTTTGTATGTCACATATTGTCAGTGTAACATAAAAAATGTCTTCTTAGAGAGATATATATGTTTTGTGCTTTGTTGCACGGTCTCTATTGTTTAAGTAATTCAGGAGTTGTTGCCCCTGTTTGTGACTCTCTTCCAAGACATCTAAAATATCAAGAAGAATATGTGTACTTTCCTTTTTTTATTTTAAAGAATAAAACACATGTAAAGTCCAACATAAAGTGAAAATGATAACATCAAACATATGGAATGAAATATAAAACATGTTAAAATGAATTATAAAACATGTTAAAATGACATAATTAAATATAGAATATGTTGTCAATAAATATAAAACATGTTGCACTTAATTATAAAACATGTTTCAGTATAATCTACTTGTGTCATTAACCTTAGATTTCCTTTATATCCAATGACAAGAACAATTAACAAGTAAATGCAAATATATAAATAATGCTAAATTTAATGTTGTATAGTATGATACGAGGGGACAGTCCGGTCTAGATAATGTTTATTTTATTTTGTCAATTCTTCCAATTGTCTATTAACTTGGCTTCTGATTTGAAAGACGCGGGTACATTCCGATGTGACTCAAATTTAAACAATAAGAACCGGTGTGAAACTTTCAAAGTCATTGAGTATTGAAGTTATTACTGAAATGACATAATAGAGTAGGCACGCACCATGGATGATGCATAAAATCTGGGACAAATCCCAGATAAAATGTAGACAAAGGTCCGCTAGGTGAATAGGCATAATAAATACCATAATTACAACAATAAACCTATTTCATTTTAAACACAATTAGATCTAGTGAAAATACACGAACAAGAAGACCCTTGTTGAGATAAAACATACAAATACTTGCCAGGGTTGATACTGTGAAGGGCCTCATTTTACGGAAATTGCCGAGTGTTGTTTTATTCACATAGGATGGTTGCCTGGGATATATATGGTACAACGTCTAAAGAAAGTTAAATGGTGTGTAACTCTGTGCTAAATTTGGTACTCCATGATTTAAGACACCCTACATTTCTTAATTTTGCGAAATAATACATGACGGAAATTAACGAACCAAAAGCGGAAATATAACTGAATGCGCACGCATCTTACAGAAGGATCATCTGTTTCCCAACAAACACAGAAAACACAGAAAATTATCAAGATATCAGCCGATTCCTTAATATTTATAGCAGTATACCATACAAGTATGTGCTATTAAAGTTACTCCATATAATATATTGTCTTTTCCATGCCTTATGTCTTGTATTTCTCCACTGAAACCAAGGAAATTCTCTAACGTAAAAAGCAAAGGCAAATCGTTACGAACTCGAGGAACAAAACAATTTTTGCGATTTTCCTTTTATAAATCTGACAGCATATGTTTTGAACATAAGGTATTTATCACTATCGAACAATATTTCTTGAGAATTCGGTTTATGGAATTTTAAATCAATCATGACTAATGTAATCTTGAGTGGGTGGGGTACACAAAAATATGATGCAAACTTGCAAATTTATATTGAATTCATAATGAATTAAAACAAGCAAATATTGTGAACAACCATTGTAATGAAACACGTGAAAGATTATGATATAGTAAATATCTCAATAGTTGTAAGATAAAGACAATTTTCTTGAAAGTATGAAAAGTAAAATTTATTAAAATGGTGAAATAATTTACTTTTGCTCTTAACAGGTCTAGGATTTCATGATATTTATGGACTGTCTGTAAATTTATAGATAGTCTAAAATTTTAAAGATTTTTCAATCCATAAATTTACAGATATTCAATGAGAAATTTGCTGTTTTTAGTTTTACACTAAAATCCGCAGCTTAAGACAAGTTGTTTTATTGATTGTTTATATTTACAAAGGTATTGGGGTGAGTTTCATCTTTGTATGATGATTTTGAAATTTTTGCTAAAAGTGAAAATTGAAAGTCATCAAATTGTTCTGAATCTTACCATACTGTTACATTTAATCATATAATATGTAACCTTATTCAATTTAACCTGCGGTTTTGAGTTTTTATGCAACTTCTGCTATTTTCTTACTTCATGTCTGTAAATTTACAGATAAAAAAATCTGTAAAATTATGGATCGTCCAAAAATTTACAGACTGTCCATAAATAACATGAAATCCTAGACCTGCTTAATATGAATAAAATAATCAAGTTTCTCAGTCGTCTATGTAACATTTTGATAAAAAATACAATAAAAAAGTGAAAGTAAAACTCCTGGAAGGTGCACAATGTCTAGCAGGCACTTGTGGCATTTTATGCCTAATACTTGGAATAGGGTATGTAAGTCTCGTCATGTGACTTGCGGGATTTCACGATATTTTGCACTTCCGGGTACAAACAAATATCAACAACATTGCTTATCTATATTGGGTAATACTTGTATGCCGATGGGAAAGTAAAACTTACACGGAAAAGCAAAGGATATGTAGAAATTGGCAGAGTGTTTTGTTTTGTAACGAAATGCAAATGGCTTCATCTTGTGAACAAGTATCAATGAAAGACAACTTCGTATAATCTTCAGGTGGGTGTGTCATTTCGAATTCAGTTTATCGCAATAAATGTTGTAATATTTTTCATGTCCATGTAAATCTAATAAATTTGTTATTTGATACTGTGTGAACATCATTCGCATCTGACTTCAGACTGGTGAATTTGATTTCATCAATTTTCTATAGCGCTACCTGATTATCTCTCAGAAGTATATAATGTTTAGAAATTTCGGACAGCGCATATTTCGGATAAAACGTTTCAATATGATTATCAGTGTGTTTTAGTTGAATATATTTTCTTCTAACTGAAAATTTTATTTATTATTATTATTATCTTTATAAAGCATAAACAGTCAAGCTGTATATTACCAATTTAAATTGTCATAAAATTTAATGAAATATTTTGCTCGTGTAGATATTTAGACAGAGGAAAATGGTGAGATGAAAGACGTCAGTATCCGATGTAAATACACATGCATGCTCTGCTGTAAAATCGTTTTGGTAAGAAATATATACTTAAAGCTACTTCAACTACATTAATGAAAAATAAATATTCTTGTATAAGATAATGTTCTCGTTTTTGTAAATAATTACAGTGTAGCTAAATAAACAAACAGTATGGCATATGTAGTTAATTCATGTTAAATACTGATTAAAGTATTTTTCTCAAGTAAGTGTGTCATATTTTTAAGTTAAATCATGTTCAGTAAATGGTTAAAAGAACTTAGTCACTATCACAATTTTTTAAAGATCAGTTGTCAAAGCAAATCTACAAAAAATAGGACACCAAGAAGTGTTTCTTCCTTTTCAACATTATTTTCTATTCATGACAATATGAAAATGATTGAATTGACCAATTATTATTGCTTTTAACTCATGATAAATTTTCTTAATATGCAGGTATGTGATTTCATGGTTGGATCTTGAGTACTTGGCATGGCTCTTGATTTATTTTGGACTGTTCAACGTCAGATTAGAAACCAAATAGTGATACCACCTGACATAGTTAAAAGGAAATGTCCATACACAGTCTTGGAGTACAAAGTGGTAGAGACATGGCAGTCCATTACATATTTTGACTGAATTAAAGCTTCTTAAAGCTCCATGTCTTGTGTAAACGGTCTGACTGAATGTTTGTATTCTAATAAAAACTAAGGTTGAAGACACTTCAAAGATATATATGTCAGCGTAAAAATGTTAAACAAAATATCTGTCTTTGTTAGAAATAAATAACCTGTCTTTGTTAGAAATAAATAACCTGTCTTTGTTAGAAATAAATAACCTGTCATAAATTTGTAACTTTGTATTAACTTAATTATTCAAAGATAATTTATCTTCTGCAAATGGCTGTCCAAAACAGTTTCAACCAAGCATCATGTAGTTTCAAAACAGTTAAGATAAAATTGTTTTAAACAGACTCATAAGGTGACAAGAATGGTAAAAAGATAAATGATCTGCATTAAAATGTTTCTATCTTGATTGAGTTTCATTTCATACTATCACCATGATCACAGCAATTGTAAAAGTAATGTAATCTATAACCATCATTTAAATATCATAAAAATCATCTCAAAGAAAAACTTGTGTCTGAGGCAAGATGTGTAAATTTCCTTTCAGTAATAGCCTGTCACTTCTCTTAGAAAAGCCATGATTTGCATTGTACATGACAGGTAGTAATACCAGAGTAAACAATATTAATGCAATTCATCTGTGTTGAGTATTCTGTAGCAAAACACTACATTGTAGCTTGCTAGCCCTTGAAAGCCCAAGACTAGTCTGTCTCTTAATCACAAAATTGGAGAAGACTTGCAATTCTGCATTCCTTGAAAGATTTTAGTGACAGAGGAACAGTTATTACATACCATATACTTCTTTGTGTTTCAAATTACCTGTTTTATAATGTATTGAACCTGTTGAAATTTGACCAAAAGTGAATCATCTATACAAAACAAGCAGCACTTAGGGTTTGCACTTGATACAAAACAATTACATCACTGGTACATTAATATACCCATTGGGATGTTTCAAAGTTGTCAATGTTTTTTTTTTTAAAAAAACATACAATGAATGCTTTTAACTTTTGTCCATGTGTAAATGTAGTCATTGAAGAGCTGTCAAGAACTTTTCATCAATATCATTTAGATAGTGTCTGTTTCGATTTCAGGACAGACAAAATTCAAATGACATGCATAGTATTTACTATAGTCAATGCTTGCATATTCAAGCAATCTAACCATTGCTTAAAATACACAGTGACACTTATTTTGCAGATAAACTATTATGATCAAGCACTGCTATAAATATATGCCATATAGTAGAAACAAAAAAAAAAACAGTTCATAAGTTTGATAAACTTTTATTTTTACACAATTTATAGTGCACTGCTTTGCAAATATATCACACTGATATTCCAGTGGAAGAAAAACTTCAGGAAAGCACTTGAAATTATTATTAGTTATTTGGACAATGTACCTTTACACTGTGAAAGTCTACTTATACAAGAATAAGAATGTTTCCTTTTACAAATGTAAAGAGTTTGAAAATTACCATAAATAACATGAACAAATTATCATAGAGTTATAAAACATATTCTAGTTGAAAATGGTCAGCTTTGAATGCAAATTTGTGAGCTTATCAATGATTACCTCACAATATTAGTAGTAGATGATATATAATAGTTTTGCTATTTTTTTTTCATCTTTACTTCATTATCATTTAATGTCTATAATGACATATGACTATACTGTGATTCCATAAAAATCCTTATCTCTGATGTGTTTTCTACTTTGGTATTTATAGAACATCTAGTTTTAATACTTAAAACTGCAATGAAATGTGGATATTTTACTCTGTTTCTATCACTGTGACATTAACAAGATAACTACATTATGGAATCATAGTGTCAAATACCATAAAATCATACTCTTTTACATCAAGATTTTTGTGCTGCATGTCATTCATCTTCTTTAGGAAAGTACATTTGACTATTCTCAGTGGCTTATATTAAACTAATATTTCAATGTAACTGTGTGTTCTCTGATATCATTCTCAAATTAAGGAACTGGAAGATGGTAGTTGCAATAAAGGTCTTCATGGACAAAGTCCCTTCATCTTTTTTTCTTTTTATCTGCAGAATGAAAAATCAATTAACATGTTAGACCTGAATATATTTCGCTGAGTAAAACACTAGAAATGATATTTACATTAAACTTAATAAGCTTGACATGATTGACAGAAAATTTCATATTTGAAGTAAATAAACATTAAAGATAAACAACAACACATACATGTAATATATAACAGTCAAAAATTTTGATCTTCTTCAATGTGAAACATGACTGTTTTTCATGTTTTATTTACTTATCAATTATCATGCAGTGAAATCCAAAAAATATTAAAATATTTTGATAATTGTTTATCTTTCTGATCTCAACTAAAAATTAATCAATTATTTTACATGTATTTACCTTTGATGTATAGATATTTCAGGATCATAGGCAGTGTAAACAGTTGATTAATGGTCCATAGTGAAGAACTGTATATTCTATACATGTACTTGTCATATACCTCCCTGTCTACACATCTGAAATGGTTTATTCAAATATTATTAGCTCACCTGAGCACGAAGTGCTCAAAGGTGAGCTTTTGTCATCACTCTGCGTGCGTCGTGCGTCCTTCAAAAAATGGCGTCAAA